TCTTGGATAGTGCATTCATGTTTCACAGAAGAAAATACGTTTAAACTTCCTCTTTACTATAAAAAAATGCATGCGTACTTGTACTGAACAAAAATTTTCTTCTGCCGGATGAAGAGAAAAATTGTATTAAAAGTTCTTTTTCTGTAGGAGGACAACAGGAGAAATCTGCCATAAGAGCCTGGTAATCGTGTAACGACAAGTTGCCTTTAGAAATTTTAGGCCATCTTGGCTAAAACGTTGAAAAATGTTCTGTTAGTCTGTTGTCTCGTCTTTTTCTTTCCGTAATTCACGCGTATTTTTGTAGCAAGTACTCGAAACATTTGCGAGAAAAGTTCACAATTTGAACCTCATCACGCAGTCCATAGTAAATCCTACATAATCTCTTATTGACACACCTCATTCTCAGCAGTCTAAAGAGATTTCCGTTTCGTTAATTCTAAAAAAACTGACTACCTTTATTACTTAATATCGTTATCATGGAAATTTTGTCAATAGAGATACGCTAACTTGCAATTCAACAATTTATGATTACATTTTCCAAATCTTACCATGCTTACTTTCAAATGTTCATCGTGAGACCGAAAAGCTATAGCGATCAAAATTAACAATTGAAAGACTTCTAAAAAAAATACGTTGACTTGCAAATTTAATTTGTCTTATGTGTGTGACTGCCAATCAGAAGTGCATGGACCACTCGAGAAAAGAAACCACAATTTTCGAGCATTTATCAAACAAGAAGACAAGGTGAAGCCGAAGTTTTATTCACCGACTTTAATTCTTTTTTTGTGCATTATGAAGTCATTAAGGAGTGTCCCTTTAACGCTGAGAAAGAGCGGCCTTATTGTGAACGCTCCTTAGTGCTGAACGGAAAGGAAAACATCAACAGCAAATAGACAAACAATAACTCAATACCGTTTAGTTTAAAGAAATCAGTGAGTGCGGCTTATTGAGTTACACTTTAGTCCTCAAAATTAAAATTTACAAGGGGTGAATCTGTTTCAGTTAAAGGGTCCAAGAGTCGATTAGCGGAAAAGTATACCTAAATAGAACCCATCAATAAAAAGATCTATCACCGATAATCACCATTTAACAATTTCCTCGGAGGATGAATTAGTCGTCGCATTCTTTTGATGCATGTTTTGCATCTTACTTACGAAATCAAATAACATTACCTGACCTTCCTCTTCTTAGTTACTGTTCGAAGTTCTTCACTCTTAAGTTCTTCACAAAAGAGTTTCTAGCTAGAGGAAATTATAAGGGTGGATTTCCACAACTGACCGCGTAATTTTTACGTGGGTGCGTACGTAATAATTTTACGCGCGTACATCTAGCAGGATTTTTGAAAACGTTACCGCCAAATAAACCTTTAGCGTCCAGCAGTTTTTTCGGCCAAAAACTAACACCAAAGACATTACAAAAACTAAGAGTGCAAACATTGCTTTTTTTTCTCTTCTCCTCCTTTCTTCCTCCTCGCTCTTTATTCTTCTCCTTTCCTTTTCCTTGACGTTCGTGTGATTTTTGAGTTTATCAGGCCCAAAATTGATCGAGGTTCAACTTTTAACGTTTACGCGCGTAAACTTTTTCGTTTGCGTTTGCGTTTACGTTAACGCGCAAAAAATTTACGTGCGTACGCTCGTAAAAATTACGCGACAGTTGAATAAGGACTGAGGAAACAGCTCCGTCAGGTTTTCACTTTTTGAGCATAAAAAATGAGAGTTTTGCAGGAAACAACAGTTGCTGGCGAAAGAAAGAAAGCAAACAAACTAAAGACAATTAAAGCCCTTAATTGCACACAAAATTAAAGAACAAATCAGCAAAGTGTACCCAGTTGAATTCTGAAAGACTGTATTTATGACAAGAAGTGGACACGAGACTTTCTTTTCTGTTAACAATAGTTTTTTTTTATGTCTTCAGTGCAGTTACTTTCATAGTTTCGCACTTAACCCTGATTTCTTGCACGACTTAGTTATGACTTGCCCCGAATCTTGGATAGTGCATTCATGTTTCACAGAAGAAAATACGTTTAAACTTCCTCTCTACTATAAAAAATTTTCTTCTGCCGGATGAAGAGAAAAATTGTGTTAAAAGTTCTTTTTCTGTAGGAGGACAACAGGAGAAATCTGCCATAAGAGCCTGGTAATCGTGTAACAACAAGTTGCCTTTAGAAATTTTAGGCCATCTTGGCTAAAACGTTGAAAAATGTTCTGTTAGTCTGTTGTCTCGTCTTTTTCTTTCCGTAATTCGCGCGTATTTTTGTAGCAAGTACTCGAAACATTTGCGAGAAAAGTTCACAATTGGAACCTCATCACGCAGTCCATAGTAAATCCTACATAATCTCTTATTGACACACCTCATTCTCAGCAGTCTAAAGAGATTTCCGTTAATTCTCAAAAAACTGACGTTTTAAAATTCTACCTTTATTACTTAATATCGTTATCATGGAAATTTTGTCAATAGAGATACGCTAACTTCCTTTTCAACAATTTATGATCACATTTTCCAAATCTTACCATGCTTACTTTCAAATGTTCATTGAGAGACCGACCAGCTATAGCGATCAAAATTAACAATTGAAAGACTTCTAAAAAAAAATATGTTGACTTGTAAATTTAATTTGTCTTATGTGTGTGACTGCCAATCAGAAGTGGACCACTCGAGAAAAGAAACCACAATTTTCGAGCATTTATCAAACAAGAAGACAAGGTGAAACCGAAGTTTTATTGACTGACTTTTACTCTTTTTTTGTGCATTATGAAGTCACTAAGGAGTGTCCCTTTAACGCTGAGAAAGAGCGGCCTTATTGTGAATGCCCCTTGGTGCTGAACGGAAAGGAAAACATCAACAGCAAATATAGACAAACAATAACTCAATACCGTTTAGTTTAAAGAAATCAGTGAGTGCGGCTTATTGAGTTACACTTTAGTCCTCAAAATTAAAATTTACAAGGGGTGAATTTGTTTCAGTTAAGGGGCCCAAGAGTCAATTAGCGGAAAAGACTACCTAAATAGAACCCATCAATAAAAAGATCTATCACCGATAATCACCATTTAACAGTTTCCTCAGAGGATGAATTAGTCGACGCATTCTTTTGATGCATGTTTTGCATCTTACTTACGAAATCAAATAACATTACCTGACCTTCCTCTTCTTAGTTACTGTTCGAAGCTCTTCACTCTTAAGTTCTTCACTAAAGAGTTTCTAGCTAGAGGAAATTATAAGGGTGGATTTCCACTATTGACCGCGTAATTTTTACGTGGGTGCATTCGTAATAATTTTACGCGCGTACATCTAGCAGGATTTTTGAAAACGTTACCGCCAAATAGACCTTTAGCGTCCAACAGTTTTTTCGGCCAAAAACTAAGACCAAAGACATTACAAAAACTAAGAGTGCAAACATTGCTTTTTTTTCTCTTCTCCTCCTTTCTTCCTCCTCGCTCTTTATTTTTCTCCTTTCCTTTTCCTTGACGTTCGTGTGATTTTTGAGTTTATCGGGCCCAAAATTGATCGAGGTTCAACTTTTAACGTTTACGCGCGTAAACTTTTTCGTTTGCGTTTGCGTTTACGTTAACGCGCAAAAAATTTACGTGCGTACGCTCGTAAAAATTACGCGACAGCGGAAATCCACCTTATGAAGGCTGGAATTTTCCATAAATCGCCTCTTCATAAACTGTTTAGGCCGGTTATTTAAACGAACTATAACTTAGGCCGCGGCTTAGCAAATCTTTGTATCTCCAGATCTCTTCCGTATAGCGGAAAATAAATGGGTTTTTTTGTCTACGCCTTATGCTTTCACGAAACTTATCAGGATAAACTAAAGCGTTGGGTAAATTGAAGATGGCTTAGAACGCGGTTTTGTTAAACACAAGTTAAACTCCTTTTAAATAACTGTCCCTTTGACTCACATTTATTGGTTTTTCGTTGATTTATCGTTTAGTTCATGACTTTAAATTGTTTTCCCAGTGAGATGACCAGGAATTCCCTTATTATCACGGTACTGCTCGTACTTGTGCTAGCTGTGGTTGGGATATACGGGAACTTTTGTGACCAGGGTCTCCCTGGAAGGTACTGTTTTAAGGACCTGAGTGGCTGGTATGAGTGTACCATTGACAAGAAAACCCAAAAAATGGTTCAAAAAACGCACAAATGTCCAGCCTCTACACGGTGAGTGATTAGGGTTCCCTGGAGAGGACTCCGAATATGAAAGGGGTGGGGATGCTCGTCGTCTCGCTTAGGGGTGGAAATTTCGGATTTTGGTCTCACTTAGGGTGTTTTAGGTAAAACGCCATCATATTTAGCCGTGAAGGTCTCGTTTGGGGTTGCAAATGAAAAAATATAAAAATATGTGTATTGCCTGTGTTTTAACATGGTCTCTTTTAGGGGTCCAAAAAAGCGCGGGCTACGCCCATATCGGTCTCTTTTAGGGGTTTAATTCAAAATTTCCGACGAGCATCCCCACCCCTTTCGTATGCGGAGTCCCCACGGGTCAGGTTTTGGTTCAATGCATGCAGTTTTAGTTTCAAATTAATAAACGTTGTGTGTTTTATTAAAACGTTTGCATGTAACAACTTATAAGCTAAGAAGCAATTTGAAAATAATGTATTTGCTCACTAAAGCAAGAGTTGATGAGACTTAACCATGTCGATTGTCTTTTTCACAATTTCGGTAGCTTTCACTTCTGGTTGGTTAAGAAAAATAGTGCAATCAGACGGGTGGCTTGCGAGCAAGCCCGTCGGGGCAAAAAAACTTTCCCTGTTTGCTCCGCCGCCCGAGCGCCCCGGAGAGCTTGCAAGTAAGGCTATAAACACACAGGTGTGTGGCCATCATCATCATTATTAAAAGTAACGTCCTACGCACCAGTAGGTACATAATGCCGTAATATTCTCTGAATAGGCTAGTTTTTTTTTGGCGTTGGCTGCAGTTAATTCACAGTGTCGATTAGTGTCCGCCTTTTCTGAACAGTTCCTTTTTCTAACTGAAACATACAAGCTGGCGTTTTGGTAGTTTGAGATGCACAGTTGTTAATGAAAGCATCTGGCTTCACATAAATAACTCTTGACGCGTTAATCTCCTTACGTACCTGCATTTACTTTCAGATGTCAGTGTTTCTACGGTGTGGACTGCCCACCTACGGTCGGGAAACCCTGTGCTAAATACGAGCTCCCCCCACCATTCCCAGAAGTATTTTCTACCTTCTACACCACGATCGTTACCGACTGTGATGCCAAGAGTTGTACGAACTTCACAAACATCGGAGAATTTCTGCAGAACTCTACCGCAGGGGAACAGCGACATGATCGAGTAGGAGCCGGTAGCTGGGAAACTACTTTCATTTTCCCGTTTCAGTACATTGAGAACAACAATTACATTCAGGTATTTGCGCAGGTATTTAATCAAGCGTTTTCTGAAATATGGCGCTTGCAAAATCACTTTAAAATAGCGTGCCTGTAGTTGTCTGTAGTACACTAACAAATACGACCTAATACATCGATGATGCTCTGTTTCATGCCAAACGGTTTTTTGTTTAGTAGGGCGTGTCTTGGGTGTCCTGTGCACTCCCTTCTTACTCTAAAGTAACCTGAAGGAGGGCCTTTGTTAATTTCCACAAGAGACATATAAAGATGAGAGAGGGAACAATTGCAAGCTTAATCTAAGATGCCTTTTTTTCCATTCAGTAACCGGACCCTGGGCCGGGATGTTCAATGCTGGGTTAAGATAACCCGGGGTGAGCGCAAAATTCGAAGCAGATATGAAAGCGTAAAAAGCAGTCTTATTCTTACCCTAGAAAGAATAGAGAAAGTTATCAGAGAAAATGCTCTTGAACTGAAGAACAAGAAAAAGGGATTCCAAAATGTAACTCTGGGTTAGCGCTAATCGGCCTTCGAACAACTGGGCCCTGTATAAATAGGAGTCGGAAAAATACTGCCGGAGTGACCCTGCCGATGGACTGGTATGCCACTTAGGAGGCCGGGGACCGGAGAACTAGCCAGTAGTCCTTACTACTGAGACCAGGATAAACCCCGGTCATGTAGGGTTCTTTGTTGGCTCCTAGAGCTGTTTGACCGTACCCTATACTACTGGTTCTTTCGTAGAGAGTAACCTATTTTTTTCCTTCGTGTTTTAGTTTGACGCTATCTGGTTCGGCAGAAACTGCACCCTCAATTCCAGGTCTAACTTTCCGCGCTTTGGGGTACCACCCTATTTCACTTGCGGAAATACGTTTACTGGCAAACTGGGGGCCACCTTTAAAGGGTGTGAATGGAGATCAGGGGGACACAGCAAAACCGATGAGGTAAGCGACAAAGATTTTGGGGACACTGAACATATGCTGAACCACTGTAGGGGCGTGTACGGGAGGGCCTCACACGCCTAGCCTGCGAGCAACCTCTCCATTCACGGGGGGATTCGCGAGAAGTCACGCGACAGCAGCACGCGAAAGGAGACGCGAGTGCGTGGGGCAGGAAAGAAAGGGCGTGTTTAATCTAGGCAGGTCAAGTCTCACTTTCCGTTTAACCCTTACTACAGACCTTTTCTTCAACCGGGGACCGCTCGCGCGCTTTCTCGCGCGTTCTTAAACTAGTCAAAAATGCTGGCAGTAGCAGCGGCCGTGATAGTTATAATGAGGCATAAAAACTAGATAATAATTTATAAAGTACCCTTTCCTAAAGGGTCCAAAGGCTGTTTCAGTTTGGGACCAGGCTGTTCGGGACTTCACCTTATTTTAGGCCAAACCGAAGCCCGTAAAATTGAGAAAAGTTATTTTCAAGAACAGGATTCCTCTATCTCAGGGTTTGGATTTATGCCCCACTCCACCCTCCCCCCCCACCTCACACCACCCATCACCACCACACACCTGAATTTTACAGCAACATACCTGAATGGGATCAAGGTATTTGTCCTGGTCTCTAAGCCCGCTACAGTAGAGGTTTCAATTCGAAAATGTTCATTTATATTCATGCTGTTCCAGTGATTGGGTAAATACTATCGGCTTCAATAAGTTCTTCAACACTTTACAAAGCATAACCATTTCTTTTCGTCCATTCCAGGTTATCATTGACAAATGGCTTTTGATTCAATTGACGGATGGTCGCTTCATACCCTTTGCGCACGAGGTGCAAAGGCGCCCAACCCCCGCCAGCAACCACACAGAATTCTACGATACTGTGTTCGCCTCGTTCTTCCCAGACTTCCTCGATCCTAGTCAGCTGTCGATGCCGACATTTTGTGGCCAAAACCTTGCAGCATTGACGACCAGCCGTGTCGAAGGAAACGAGCCCGGTATGAAACCCCCGGAGTTCATGCGCGAAAAGTTGGCGAGAAACAAGGCTTATGATATAGCCGAGTACTATGACGCAAAACGTCGCTTACAGTTACTGCGCAACCAGGGATAGGTAAAACCGCCCGAAGGAAAGAAGGAGTTTTTCTTTTCTCTGACGTGTCATCGAGCCAAAAACTATAGAGCTGCTGGGAAACAGTCTCCAAATTGTCTCAACATTTTTCTAGGCACTAGTGTTGAGTCAGATCGAGAGAAGTTCATAAGCGGTCACAACATCTCCTTGGCAACTGAGACAGCTGTTACATAACTCTCGCAGGCGTTCAATAAGGTCTCAACGGGTTCTCAAAACGCTGGGCTTCTGAGATAAAAAATTTCGAGGAAAAAAAACAAAGATCAATGTCGTGACCATTTTTAGAGAAAGATTAAAGAATTATTTTCAAAATGTCTCGAAAAGGTCACAAGATCTCATAACAATATTGACATGGATGACTAGCTGTCTCAAAAAATGTTGAGACCATAATTTGGGACGCAGTTGCTCAGGTGATAACACGATAATTATAGAATCGAGAAAAGTCATCTTTGCGAACCTCCATCTTGCAATTGCTTGGCGACGCATGAGAGAAAAGAAGGACTATTTAACTTTGTAGGCAGATTTTGTTAAATAAATTTAAGAATCGTTGGTGATTTCATGAATATTTTGCGTCCAAGACCCATAGAAATTCAGAACTTGTTTAACTGCATGTTTCGTTGATTATATTGTTGATATGAGCGCCTAGAGATGAGGATGACATAAACAGCTGTAGACTTGCATATTCAAACATCACATGTAAAACGGAAGGACCTTCAATGTTTTTGCAAAAGCTTCTTTTTTAATATGTATGAAGGTAAACCTTCAAGGTTGAGTTTATTAGCAAAATAAATAAATGGCATTTTGATCTTGTCTTTATTTGCCTCGTCTTTAGTTAATTTGAATTAATTCATGTTCACGTGGATATATTCACGGCACAAGAGAGTTTTGTCTGCATTTTTTATAATTATTTTTGGAGAAAGTTTAAATAATTCTTTAGGCAGACTAGATCTGTTACTAATGATATCAAGATAGCTATATCCTAAAAATTCTGACGCTTGAAAACACTTATTAGTCGGGGGAATCTTTCTCAACAATGGATTATATCAATAAAGTTAAGCTTTTAAACTTTTTGTGTCGCTGAGCCTCGTAAATCTTTCGTAAAACCAGAACTCACAAAGAATTTAAATTGACCAATCATGGCACTCTTACAGAGCAAATTAACCAATCAAAACCCGCGTCATGCGCGGGAAAAATGTTTGCCAGCAAGTATAAAAGGAACGCAACATTGTTGGCCAACATCTCCTAACATTGTTATATGTTGCGTCCGTTTGCACACCCTGTTAAATGTTGTTGCTGCAGGTACCAACAACTCCCAGCATTGTTGTCCTAATAATGTTGGGAGTTGCTGCGTCCGTTTGCATGTAGCTTATTCATTTCTGATCGGCTGAAGAAGAAGAGCAAGATTCCATAGCCAAAAACAAAGTGAAAAAATTAAAGCGCCAGGTGATTTCGACGTTATTGTTGCTGCCTTAAAATTACTGAAAGCAGCAAAATTAACTCTCAATGCGGCACGAACTCTTATGATCAAAATTGTGGCACACCTTTGAAGAAGAATGAATTCAAATCATCAAATTGTTTTCACTCAAATTGTACACAATTTCTTGTTTTCGTTTGTGACGGAAAATCTCTCCTTACACGTTTGTCCATTTATAGACTGAGGAAAGCGAAGTTTGAAAAAAACTTGAATTATGCAGACATTAACCGAAAGCAATAAAATTAGAGGGTGTAGGATGAATAGGACAATCCGGGGTTTTTAAGACGAATTAATTTTGCAATATATCGAGACGGGGCTTTTTAACAATATAATGAAACCTTTTAGTTTCGCTGATATATTTAAGCGATAAAAGAAATATTGGTCATGCTTTTAGAAATCAATAATATATGATCCTCTTAAAATACACCTTACATCAGAAAAGATAAATATTTGTTCAGGGTGCAGTTGCAATTTAACATGCACTACGGCCTGTGGACATGGGATTCACGTCTTCAAGTTGTGATCCCAAAATCCTGAAACAAACCCTCTTGTTTAAACTAACTGAACTGTGCTACAATTCATGTTTCGTAAGTCAAAAAATAATCCATGTAATGTGCTCGCTCGTCAGGAAGATATTAAGAAGATTAATCGCAATTTCTAGCGAAGTAAACCAAATAAAAGAAATCCCCGGCGCACGGTCGGTTCCTTTTTAGTTCGGATGTAAACTTCCGACAATTTCAGCCTTCTCCTTTCTCAATCACAGTTGTTTGTTAATGGCAAAATATCACCACAGTAAACTAATTTTTCACTGCTAATTTTTCTCTTGCGGTTTAAGTTCACTTCAAACGACGCAAATAACGTTTCTAATTAAGCGTCCAATGGCGCACGCGATATATATTTTTTTCGACGGGCTTTCCTTGATTTTATCGAACAGCAAAGCAATGGTTAATATCTAGGATATCCTATCCGTTCGAAACCTGAGTAAATTAAGGAATAATTTTGAGAACTAAATAAGTTGTTGCAGAAAATGTGATCTAAAAGTACGTGAGTACGATTTTTGACGAAATTGAAACCGTAGGGGTAATAGTCTCTGTAATAAGTATGACAAATGGCTTAATTTTTCTACTTTATTTCTGAAAACCTTTTTTTTTCTTTTCATATCATCGGAAAACTCACCTTCCCTACAGTTATCTTAAGAACTGAAGACTGAAAAATACAAACAGTTCTTTGGCAACATTTTGTTAAACGTAACCAAGAAACAACAACCCGTGCAGCTGCCTTTTAGATTAACAAAGTTTCTTAATTGTAAGTGCGACCTTGGTAACTAGGCTGAAACTTTTCAGTTTGGTGCAATGTTAACTGATACAAATCTCGAAACGCTTATTTTGGATATTTTTTAGCCGTTAAAATAACGCCTTAACAATTTCAACATGTTTTAATTTCCAAAAAGTCCTGTTAACCACATCGACCAACGCGGCGAAATTATAAAGAGAAACTAGGAGGTATATAGCGATTCTTAATTTAATTGTTAATGACAGTTTTATTTATGAATACTGAGACAAAAAGTGGTCAATCAAAGAAAACCCACCTTAGCTAAAAAATTTTATCATTTTCAAGCCTGTCTCAGCAGTGAACCCATTGTCACTCTTATTATTAAATCCTGTTGAACGTTTTTTTTCCTCCTATTTAAATTGAAATTCACCACAAGGCGTCAATTTTATCTCCCGACTTGCGTGATTGAAGCAGAAAATATCCTCAACCGCGAGGCTGCTTTATTTGCCGATAAATATCTTAAATCTCACGTTATCTCTCGTTAAGAAGTCACCATTTAATGCTTATAAATTACTAGACATAGAGGTACTGGTTGTGAGCATTGTGATATGTAAATTATTAAATCTCTAGAACAGGCCCCCTTTATTAATATGGAAGAGTTATTTACCAGCAAGATTGTTTGAAATATGTAAACTGGAAAGGCTGCCAGATGGTTCACACTTTTTGGACGAAAAAAAATTCGAGTTCTTAATGACAACCAAACTGAATTGTTAGGACTTCCTGTGCGGGAACTGACATCTTTGACTAACCGGTTTTTGTATGTATTTCTGATAATTTCAACTGGCCCGGTAGATAAATGGAGTGCAGCCCGCGAAGAACGCCGGCAAGGTAAGAAAGATACATGCTTCCGTGCGTCGGGTAAGGAAAATATATACCCGTCACTTGTTTAATATTATCTACTGATTCTGAATGTCAAAAAGAAGCTGACGGTATAAATAGTCAAAGAAAAATAGCAGGACAATATTTATAATTACGAATATATAATCGTCAGTTCGAGAGGTAGATGAAACCAGACAAAAAATATCGATCCTGTCAGGCCGGCGAAAATAGTCAAGGAAACAAAAAAACGTAAAATATATCAGCTGATTCAACAATCATTCTCCAGAATTCTTTTAACTTTAACGTTCAAAGGCAAGTTATTGAGAGTGCTAAGAGGTGAAAATTTAACAATAATCGCATTATTTTTTCTGTGGAAAGAGGACAACGGCCATTCGAAAATACCAAAAGGGTTTCTTTTTAATGGGTGCACTACCAACACAGAAATGATCTTCCCGATTTGATCGATGAGCTCAAAATTTGGGGCTTGCAGTTTTTTAAAGAAATTGAACGGACTGAATATATATTCAGCTTAATTGACATTATATTCCATTTTTAATCCAGGCTTCATTGGCTCTGATTAATAATTCATATGACTCGCTGATTTTCCGAGATCATTACATATCGGTTTTAGAACAGTGGGAATATCTAATTGTAATTTTAAGAAATGTTTTGAGGAGTTTGATATGTAATCAACAGTAATCTGTTTTGAGAGCTAAGTGATTGAATATTTCCACTGTGATAATTTGAACTTTGTAAAATTTCAATAAGACACGGAAGTGAATACAGTAGTTTATTGTAATGTCGTGCTGTAACTCAGGCGTAAGCGTTTTGTCCACCTAAGGAATTCTTCCCTTGCGTAAATCCAAACACTGTGGATGTCGTCTTAAAAGCAACACAACCGCCTTTTTTAACATTTCTTTGAAGAACAGCTATGTCAACTATAGATTGTATACATTTGAAATTTTGTGGTTTGTAAATGCAAATGTCTTGCGCTGCTTTACGTGTTATAAATTCGGCCACAGAGAAAATAGAGCTAAAAAATGTGGTCCGAACTGTACTTCTAAGGCAAATAAATACACTGTTCCCGGGAAAAATTTTAGCGGATGGTAAGATATCTATAACGACTTTCTGTATCACTTAGAGTTCATCGTCATATCCGTATCAATTATCAAAGAGGCTCATTAAGATAACAGCACGTATATGCCGTCTGGACTTGCGTTCCACTGTAAGTTATAGTTCAAACTCATACACTTGTAAACCAAGAAAAAGGGAATCTTGCCAGGCGATGAGCGAATTAAAGTCTGGGATGGGCCAAATCTTTTTCAAAAGTTCCTCACGAGATTTTGAATTGAAGAGAGAT